ACTTCTATCTATTGCAACTTCTGAAAAAATTGTATGAAATAAAGATTCTCTCTCCATAGCACTGTTCTACAAATGTAACCTAATTAAAAACTTCCAATTATTTTATAAATGTAACGATTTTCCAGAAACCTTAGCAATTGAAAGTTTGTAATACTAATAAAACGCTAATAAAACATGCTGTTTTCAAACTACTACTACTCCTCCGTTTTGATAATTCATAAAACCTTTTATTTAATTCAATTTCTTCTTCATTTGAAGTTCCTTCCTTCATCATCTTTTTATGTATTTAACAATGTGTTCAAAAAAAAAAAAAAAATGGCTCGCACAATAAATCACATATCTCAACAATTATGCAAGACAGATAAACAAAACTAGATTCATTTGAAAGCTTATCAAATATTTTATTAAATAAAAAAAATCAATAAGAAATTATACCACTGTTATTTTTCTAAAACCAACCACATTCCTGTTTCATAGACATAATAATATTTTTGACCGTTTCCTGAAGAATTCTTCGACCATAAATCCCTCAATTCGTCAACATTCCTTTGCATACTTTTTTCAACATTATTTTTTATGATATACCACATATTTTCAACGGGATTAAGACCAGGACTGTTGGATGGCCAGTCTATTATGCAAATTCTTTTTTCAAAAATGAAGGATTTTGTAACACGTGATGCGTGCTTTGGATCATTATCCTGTTGCAAGCGCCATGTAATAAACATATATACAAGCGTTTATTATCATTCAAACAAGATACCCGATCGTTTTTTGTCATGCGAATATTTTTTCTTCATTTTTTACATTTTGGCGCCATTTTTTTTTGAAATACACTGTATACCACTATCTCAATAACTGCAAATCCTTTAGAGATAAAATTAGTAAATGCTTGTAAAATAAATGATTAACATATAGAATTTTGAGTTTTGACAATTGTGAATTTCACAACACAAATCATCTACTATCTCAATAAGTACTGAAATAAAATTACCACATGCGCGCACCTAGAGATGTTCCAGCATAGAGAAATTATATAAATAACTATGAAAAAATTTTTTTTTAACATTCTTTATTGTGAAAGTTTGGAGGCTTTCTGGAAATGTGCAAGATGTAAATATTGTAATTATGATCACATGGAAGATATTATCGGGACATTTAAAAAATCACTTTTCAATCTTTTTTAGTGTAAATAAGAAATAACAACAATAATAGTAATAACAACAATTTATCATCATCATCTTCAATTCTTCATTATCGTCATTGTCATTATCATTATCATCAACAATTCAAGAATAATTCATCAATCAAATTAATAATTTCATAGACTGAATTTCTAAAAGTGGACAAGAAGATTTGGAACTACTGTTTGCAAAATCAATCTACCAATGTGATTTATTCCTGAATTAACACCAATACAAGATTTATTGGGGTATCCGTTAATTATCTGGATGTTTGAGTACTTGGTCAATCAGCCAAGTTAAAAATTTGACATCCGGATAATCGGCGGTTACTCGATTATTCACTGAGAATTTTGGATTTGTAATTTATCAAATGTGAAATATAATTAGATGTGGAAGAATCAACACGTATTGTTATGCCACACAACATTAGGTGTCTCCAGATATATTCAATTTGCATAATGCGCTTTTAGATTTATATTAATAATTTCTATTGGTTCAATTAAATTCCATATTAATATCCAGGAAAGAATGCCTCTAATATTACGTGTTAGTGTTACCACAAATTATTTGGTGAAAATTTTCAACGCCTGATTAAATTTGGCGGCAGATATAACTAATTACCTTTTGTGCAAATTTAGCATCTATATCTTGAAAATGGAGGAGTAGTAGTAATTTGAAAACGGTATTTGTATGTTTTAAGGAAATATATAAAAAAAACTTATACAAATACTCCAATCAATATTAATATTAATTTTTAACCAAATGGATTTTCCTGACAAAATGAATCGTTTACCATTGGGCTGTTGTTGATAGTATTATTAGAATATGTTGAAATAAAGAACAAAAAAAAGTTTTTAATAATATAAAATTTATCTAAATACTAACTAACCTCATTCATAGTATCGAACATTTCAAAGTCATCTTCAGTAATCTCTTGTTCAATTATATCAACATCGTAACCAAAAACTTCATCCATCATTCCATATTCATCATTTAACGGTAATAAATCATTTGATGATGATGAAGATGCTTGCAACTGATCAGCCGAAGAAGAAGAAGAAGAAGAAGAAGTAGTTGCTAAAACATCAGGCGGTGATGGATATGATGCTTTTGTTTCTCCTGATGAACGTTTTTTAGTTCGTGACGATGATGGTGATGATAAATTGTTGTGACCGGGTGAGTTGACATTTGAAGTAGCATTATTAGCAAGACCGGGAGTATTCGGAGTCATTGAAGTTTCTACACCTGATGGCGATTGACCATTGTGATCAATATGATTTCTCTGTAATAATGTCTTTTGAGCTTCACGTGTAGGATCTTTGTAATTCCACCAATCAGTATTATATAATTCAGTTTTTTTATTATTCCAGAATTGTGGAGCCGTACCAACATCGGAGATGCCACGTTGATAACCCATATTTAACTCAGATATTACGTAAATACATTGCGTTGGGTATGGAAATTCTTTGATTATGTTGTCATGAGTTATCTTTACATCCATTATTTGTGGTAAATCGGTACAATCTAATGTTGATAATTTTATTGAAAAAAGTCTTTCAAAATCATCTGTGATGGCATTAGCATCTTCCTCTTTATATTTTTTTATTGGTAATAGTGATGCTGTGATTCCTGATGGTGCTAATAATATAGAAATCTCGTCTAATTCAAGATCTGATCTTCTAATTGGGCGCATACTAGTATATTTGACTGTTGGCTGTATTATCAAATTGGAGGAAGAAAGACAAATATCATATTTACATGACAATACACTATTTATTTTCATAAAATAATTTCGTTATTACTAATAATAATAATAATGATAATAACAACAACAATAATAACATTTAACAGAGATTTTTATCATGCCTGTCATATAAATCTTGTGTTTTTGTAGGAAATGTGCACCATTCGCCTACTGGGAGAGCACCCATCTTAATTAAAGACCTGTATATCAAAAAAATTATTATTATTATAATAAACCAACATTACGAAGATCAATATATATATGTGTGTGTGTCAATTACCGGTTTGTTATATTCTTCATCGCCGATACAAATAATCCATATGCCTCCAATTCCCGATCGTAATTATCAAATGAAATTGTACCATCACAATGATGAACAAAATCTATAAAATATAATGAAAAAAAAAATTATGGATAAGCGTACAAAAATATTAGCGTGAATATTATTGACAAATAAAATCAAGTAAAATTGAACAAAAATCATGAAAAAAAATTTTTTTTTACCTTCTTTTTTGTATAAATCTGCCAAAACAGCAGGAACATCAGAACCCAACCAGAAAACCCATAGCTCACGAGTTATCTCACCGTGGTTGTAGATGTGTTCGAGGTTTGTTCCCTCGGAATATCTCCATAAACAAGGGATGCCACTATCAATTAGGGATATATAATTATTGATAACAGCATCCCTTAAATCTTTTTCGGTTCTTAATGGTAATGAGGAAAACGGAATTAATGGAGCAGCTGAAGTGATGAAGGTTTGCAATTCTTCAGTACTGCACGTGAAACTTAATTTACGATAGCCAACATATTCAACGTTTGTCTTTAAATTCGTTCATTATAAATTATTGTTTTAGGGAGGAAAGGCAATAAATTAAATATTTATGACAAGCGGTATTTAAATGATTGAAAAATTTTTTTATAATAAAAAATGAAGTCTTTAATTCTCTCCACTTACTATTGTGAGTACGTTGGTTTTGTCCATAGTGCATGCAATTTTTAATGTAATATATAGTAATATATAATAATCCTTTAAATTTAAACTTTTGTAATTTAAAGAATAATTATAATTATTATAATAATATTAATAATAATAATAATAATAATAATAATAAATAAGAACTTTTTTTTAAAAAGAAAAAATGTGAGAAAAATATATGAGTATGCTGCAACGACGCCACAAGGAAATCACGGGGGTTAAAAAAAATCAAAAAATGATCGTCAGAAATAATTGTATTTACCATATTGGCT